CGACCTTCGGTCTCTCCGGGTATTGCGAATCCGCATCCGCGCATTCACCACCGAGTCAAAAGAAGTGAGCGTTCAGAGGGTCCTTCTTTTGGTTAGTCCTTTTACATTCGTAACGGACTAGTGTCTGCAGTGAACACCGCCGCTTCCCGGCACGTGGCGGGCAGCTGTGCCGCGGAGGGCACGGCCTGCCAAGCGTGGCGGACCACAAGTTTCGCAACTGCGGGCAGGGCCGCCCAGGCCCAAACCATTATTGCCCGCGTAAAGGAAAGCACAGTGGGGGTTTCGCATGTATTTGCTATAAGGCGGCACCGAGGGGGATCCCCTAAAACCCCAGTGTGGCGCTAGGAAAACGCTAGGTTCGCGCTAGGCGAAATCAACAAACATTATTTCAAATTTCGCATGTCACCACTAGGCGAACCCAACAAAGATTGATTGAGGAGGCCCAGCCAGGCGCACCGCCCGAAATATACGACAAAATCCGGGGTGGTGTAATCACCCCGCGCCTCTTCGTTATGAATTGATGGGGCCCCTGTTGCCAGGATGGAGGTTCTTTCAGGAAAAACGATGACAAGCAAGAAACGATATTACGATATTCTTGTTATACTTGGTGCAGTTGCTGCTCCTGGCTTGTTTTCGTGGTTCATCACGTCGACGTATCAGATCTTGGAAAAGCCGGCACAGTGTTTTGCGCTAGTGCCGCGCTAGCTAGAGCGGCGCTGGCAAAATGTCAACGCAGCCTCCCCCCGCAGACCATGGCCCATTCCTCCTCTAGCAGACCAGAAAGGAACACCATAGAACCGAGAGTGCTATGCTTGCTGGAGCTCGAGCCCCGCAAGTGGCGACGGCGGAGAAACCTTCGTTCGCGCCAGAACTCCAGCAGTAGCAGTATGTAGCAGTAACACTACCAGTTCTTGTGACGACTCGTCCGACAGCAGCCTGAAAAATTGTTGGCGCTCACCCTTTCTAGGAAATCATGCTTGGATCCTTCAATTGTCGCGTTTGCTACTCCATCTCAATCAGTTTCTTTTTCCTTCAGGACATAAGGCGGCACCGAGGGGAACAAGCATTTTGACAACAACCCCTATGCACGTGACTCTCTGCACTTCACTCTATGCACTTAACTCTTAACTCTATGCACTTGACTCTCTGCACTTCACTCTATGCACTTAACTCTACGCACTCGACTCTATGCATTTAACTCTATGCACTTCACTCTGTGTTGTTGGGTCAGAGGGCTCCGCACGGAAGAACCCTTCGCGATGCTTTCGGGAAAAGCCCTGCATGGAGGTTGCAAATGGTCACAACCACGGACCGCTTGCCCCGATTCATGTGTCGGCACGGCAGGTGTTTTCGACGATGTGTCGGGATAATGCACAACTCCAAAGGGTCAAAAGGGCGTCGTCGGTTGTCGTTTGGCAGTCAACCCGTGTGAAGGCTCAGTCATGATCAGTCCAGACTCGTCAACGTGCTGTGGTCGAAGCGTGTGAGAGCATCATGCAATGTCATACAATGTCATTTCTTTCGGTTACTTGTTTCGGTTCAAGAGAGAATGCGTCGGGTTTTGCAATGGTTGTTGATCACACATGAGAGCATCATGAATAATCTTAGCTTGGGTCGTTTGCGAGCTACATCTTGCCGATCCAGAAAGGGCTTCAAAATTTGCATGGCCATGCCGGAGGTTCCAGCGAGGTTCCCAGGCATGATCTTTAAACGCACAGCGATCCAAGCAAGCATCACTTCTAAAGTGGTAAGCAGGGGAGCACACAGAGTGCAGCGCACCACCCGAGCGCTGTTGCACCTGCGCTCTTCCCTAGCCACATGAAGGCCAGAGGGGTCTTGCCTCCTGCATCTTGCTATCAATTGTTAACTTCAATTGTTGGCTTCGGCTTGGCCGTGCCAAGGAAGGAGGGGTTGTGTTGGGTCTGTTGGCTCGGGTTTTGCTTGAAGTTTGGCCGGCATCTGCCGGGTAAGGGTGCAGTCGGCGGAACTGTGGCGACATGGGCATGGTTTGTCTGCTTGCGTTCATATCGTTCATGTATCGAAGTTATGACTTGTTATAGAGAGTTTGCATCAGGCAGCCATCCCCCATAATCCTGTTCCACCATAGCTGACTGCTCAGCGTTCTCTTGCGCCCCAGCATTTCAACTTGGCCATTGCTCTTGCCGCACTGCTCGGCATAGTCCTCGCAGTGATCCGGGCTACTTGGCTTCAGTTGGTGGTCTGGGGGTCCCAGTAGTCCGACAATGAATAGGCCACAATTACTGTAAGATTGACAGATGCGACATGCCAAGCTCTTCCACGCCCAAGGAGCCACGGGAAGAGGAGCGTCGACAGCTTGCAGCGGAAACTGGGATGGCGGTCGCTTAGCACTGCTGAGCACTGTGCTTTAGACTTGTAGAACTATTGTCGATATTGTAGTGCGCCTGGCGAACATGCAGCACGTCGACCGCGGCAGGATGACTTCCAGGAGTTTGGCAGATTTGAAGTCGCAACGCCCGCAGACATGGAGCACCTCAGATGACATGGTGGCTATTGAGGGAATCTGTGGCGATTGTGTAATGTTGTGTCGATCTAGCCTAGCGGGATTTGCATGATTTTGTACTTTAATTTCCGATGATTGGTCGATAACGTTGCACCTGGTTTTGTGGGGGCCTCCTCTATAAAGTCAATTTGGCTGGGTTATTCAGGACACCCTGACTGTTTGGGAGTCCCTGTTTCAAGTCAAATCGTCCGGGTGCCGTAAGAAAATTCCACGTGGCGCGCCTTTAAAAAGATTGCCAGGCATCGCTGCCCCTTTCAAACTTATCTAAATTCCTCCATACTGAAATCATATAAACCCCCGGGAGTGTCTAAACAGGGACAAATCCAGCCTCGACTGTTCAGGGGGGTGGGGGGCACAACAGTGAAGAGGGTGCAACATTACTTTGCAGCTGGGGAGAGGAAGTGGAAGTTGCAAGAGAAAAGGTTTAGATTATACATCAGATTTTGATTCAGCATATTTTTGTCTTTTCTTTTAAAGTGGAGAAATATATATATATATATATTATGGATGGTGTTTACGTTATCTTCATTCTAATGGGTGTATCATTTGTCTTTCTTTTTGTATTTCTTCATCTTGGAAGAGCTATATCTTATGCTTCATATGTTTATAATCCAAATATTTGGTTTTCTGGAATTATTATTTACTTCTTCTTAGTGGGAACAGCATTCATGGGTTATGTTTTACCTTTAGGACAAATGAGTTTATGAGGAGTTACAGTAATTACAAATTTATTATCTCCCATTTCCATCTTTAATAGAATGGCTTTGTGGAGGACATTATATTTACAATCCAACATTAAAGAGTCTATTTCCATTTATTCTTTGTGCTTTTCTTCTTTTTCGTATTTTTAATCTACATTTTCTATCTTCTAATAATCCTTTAAGTAATTCCACTTAAAATAAAATAGCATTTTTCCTTTCATGATTAGTAAAGATTTCCATGGAAAGATATTAATTCTCTATCTATATCTTCTTCAAATTCATTTCTGCTTCTCTTCTTTCTCACATCCAGATAATGCATTAGAAGCATGTGGATTACTTACTCCTTTACATATAGTACTTGAATGGTATTTCTTATGCCAATATGCTATGTTAAAAGCTGTACCAAATAAAAATGCAGGATTCATTATCTTATTTACTTCTATCTTCATCCTATTTTACTTTGTGAGACGTCTTTCAATGTCATGCTATTTCATAATTAAGACGTCCAGTAGATTTAATGGTTTTTATGTGTGCTTTTGGTTTCCTTCACTTTTTCTTTTATTTGGATAGGTGGTCAATTTGCTGCAACTTTCTATCTTATGGTCGTATCGTGACATTACCTTACATTATTATCTTAGTTTTTTCTGGTGTGTACTTCGTTGTGTTCTTTCGCTCAGTATATTCGCTCTTTCACACACTTCGTACTATCATTCTTTTATCTGTACACGCGGCAATAAGTTTATTCGTGAAGCCGCGATAATAATATTGTAAGGGCTTATCATCTAGTATATTTTATAAGCAGTTTATAAGGATTACGAATGAAATTTGCACCCATGTTTGCCACTTTATAGGTTGTTGCAAGATTTGCAAGAAGCAGTGCAGCCGAGGCATTCCACTGAGACTTGCTTGCACTTTTTTGCATTCAAGCACAAGCGCAGATCATGATCCAAATCTGACGAAACCCTTGAAGCCCCCTGAAGCCTCAACTCAATCAGTGATGTGCCGGGTTGCGTTGCCAGGATCCTCAAATGCGCCGACTGCAAGTTGCAACGACAACCACCGTAACCGCTACCACATCAACATCATCCAGCACCAGCACCAGCATTTCAACATCTTCGACTTCCTTTTCCACGAGCAGCACAACTTCGAGCAGCACCGGCACTACAAGTACCACCACCAGCACCTTCTCCACGAGCAGCACAACTTCGAGCAGCACCGGCACTACAAGCACCACCACCAGCACCTTCTCCACGAGCAGCACAACTTCGAGCAGCACCGGCACTACAAGCACCACCACCAGCACCTTCTCCACGAGCAGCACAACTTCGAGCAGCACAAGCACTACAAGCACCGCCACCACCACGTCCAGCGCAAGTTCCACGAGCACAACATCATCTGCCAGCACTTCAACGAGCACAAGCAGCAGCAGTACCACCAGCTCAAGCACAACTAGAACATGGTCTTCTACATCGACCATGACTTTAACATCCACCACTTCAACGAGCACAACCAGCAGCAGCACCACCAGCTCAAGCACAACTAGCAGCACCTCCAGCGCAACTGTTACAAGCTCTACAAGCAGCAGTACGACAACCAGTACAACGACCACGTTGGCGCCAGAAGCCGTTGGCACAGTTGAGTGCACATTGGGACTAGAGTGTGTCATTGAAGTGTCGGGACTTTGGTTGTCGTCATTGGATTCCATCGTGATCCATGCAGGCCACTCTTGCGAATGGCCGCAGTTGCCACCGTTCAATATGGACGGTGCTCCGAATTGCTCAGCACTGGGGCTTGACAGTTTCATTGATGCACAAGTCATTGGAAATGTACGCCGAATCATTGCGACCACATGCCCGAGGGGAGCAAAGTCTTCACATCCCCAGGCGAAGGTTCTCCTGCGTAGCTATTCCATGCCTGCAGTGGCAGAACTCATGCTAGACGAGGACAGCTTGCCCCTTCCAAACGGAACAGTTGGAGTAGCACTCGATGGCCTTGCTATTTCGGGTGAACAAACACTAGAAGCCGACGAGTGCGGACTCGTCGTGGCACCCTCTGGTGCTGCATACTATGCCACGACTCCAGGTGCCTGGCGCAGTGGGGAGGAACCTTGTGAGATGGTGTCGACATGGGCTTCTTCGTTTGCTTTTTCCAATTCATCGCACGAGACATTGCTAGGATTCATGATGGATGGAGTGCCGCTGTTTGCACCGTTGTCTAACAGTAGCAACTTTACCACTGACAGATGCGGCGGCCACCAAGATGACCTACCATTTTACCATTACCATGCTGCAGGGTCCGAGGACCAGTACTCAGGCAGAGTGCTCGGATGTTTGCGTGCAGTGGCGAAGGGGGGGCATGGCTTTTCTCCTCCACCGGCACCTGTGGCGTGGCCTGAGCTGCAGCCAGTTGACGTAACATGGCTTGCGCCGTTGGTAACGTACGGAAACCGGGAAGTTCTTCTTGAGCATGCCCGTGCGGCAGCCCGCTTTTTGCCGCAGAGTGTGGAGAACACAAGCCGAGCATTTTACAGCGTCTCTAAGCCTTCTGAAGCTGCGCTCTCATATTCTATTTGCTGGGGTCACGGACTTGCTCTGGACTCGCACCAAGTCCTGCTCGGAACGCTGAAGTTCACCGGGCCATTCAAGAACCACTTCCGCTGCACTTTTGCGTTGACCTGCGTTTTGTCGGTGGATGGCGCAGAGCTTAGCCAGCAGAATCGACTTCTGCTTAGCAATAGCAGCTGTGATGACAACGACATCTTGCCAGGCTTCAGCCAGCTGCTTGCTCCTACTTCACTAAGCAGCAACATGTCAACCTTTGAAGTTGGCGTTTTTTTGCCCGAGGCAGTCACGAGTTCTTTGAAAGTATGCTGGAAGGCGTTTGCTAATGCAGATCCCGTGGACATCGGCAGCCTTGAGCTGGTAGGACCAACAGAATTAGACGTAGTGGTCCTATGCGCACCAGCTCGCATATGTGGCACCCGCATTGGTGAATATGTGCCCGCTGCAAGCACTGCAGTGCCGGTCGTCCTCAGGGCCTTCAACGATACATGCAATTCTGACCTGCGTCAGTTGACATTTGTTGGCGGCAGGGAATCTAATACACAGCAGCCTAACACTGAGGCGTGGCCATACACCTTTGGGATGCTTCCTGCCACCGCGCCGCCGGGCAAATTCTCGCTGTGCTGGAACCCACTCAATCAAAATGAGGTGGTTTCTGAGTACGCAATTCCAATCGGATCTTTGGTTGTTCGGGGCTTGCATCAGCTGGAAGTGGACCCTCCACCTGCTGCTGGAGTCTCATCCCGCGTGAAACTTGTAGGCGCCGGCCTGCTTACAACGGATCAGATCCGATTGGTTGAGGAGTCCATTGCCTGCGGCTTTGAGAACTCCAACATAAGCACCCAATATGTGATGGAAGTTGTCCAGGATGCTTCAGCAAGCGATCCCTGGCAGCTGAATGGCTCAGACCTCTCTGCCATGGCCTCCACTGTTTCATCTGTTACATGGAACGTCACGATGCAGGTCGGAGGTCCATTTCGCATCTGTTGGTGTCCAAGTGATGGTACTGACAGTGTGGACTGCAGTATGGCAGCTGATTTTGCCGTTGATGCAGGCACGATTATGTTCAGAGGGCCTACCAGCTTCAAGCAGCTGGAGTGCGTTGCCGGCGTGCCATTCACCTTGCGCTTGTATGGCTTCATGCTCAGTGTGCAGGATCGCGTCAAGGTTCTCCCGACACGCACATTGCCATGCAAGGATGCGGCACAGAGGCCTTACCCAGGTGAAGAGGGAGCTTCCCTGGAAGAACCCTATATCATTCAGGGATTTGAGGGCAGTCTTGAGGAAGAGTTTGCAAACACCACCATCCTTGCAAGCGGACAATATGACGTCTGCTGGTGCGCTGGCAGCTTGGAAGGGACCTCTTGTTCAGAAACTTACACATTGGTTTCGAGGCTGACAGTTGCCGGTGCGCGATATGCGTCTGGTCTGTCTGGGGCACCTGTGGAGGTCTTCGCAGGTATCCAGACGCAGCTAGAGGTTTGGGGCACGGCTTTGACTAGTGGGGACCTTGTCAAAGTCGTTCCAGTCACCGCGCAGGGATGCGCGGAGCCGGCAGACGATGCTTTTGTGCAGCCCTCGCTTTTGGAAGCCACGTACCTTGAGCATGGAGCAGAGGCATCGTTTGAGCGTTTCGATTTGCTTGCACGAAAGCCTCCGCGCTGCCGCATTTGTTGGTGCAGCGGCACACTGTCGCAAGCATGCCGCACTTTCCGTGAGGTCGGGGAGCTGTCTTGGATTGACTTGGGGACCGTTGATATCTATGGCCCAACATCAGCTTCTCCTGACGGACTTGCGCAAGCAGGGGTGATCTTCACTTTGGTTGCAAGTGGCGGTGTTGGACTTCCAGTCTCGGCCGCGGCAAGAGCTCGCATGAGCCCAGATCAACTGGACTGCAGTAGCATTGGAGAACACGATGTTCACGCACCCGTCGGTCAAGCTGGAAATACGGAAACGGATGCCAATCGATCCCAAGAGTGGATCTGGTCAGATGTCCAGATAAATTCACCTGGCATTTTCCGAGTGTGTGTGCAGTTAGCAGCTTGCTTGTTGAAGCCATGCTCCAGCGGCCACAAGTTCGGCTTCGGCATGTCCTGGGATTTAGGTGTGTTCCGTGTTGGCGGGCCACAGCTCATTGCAAGCACAGCGACCGCTTTTGCAGGTCTTGTGTTTGAGGTGACATTACGTGGATTCTACATCACAGCAGAGGATCAGTTGCAAGTCACGAGAGCAGCTGATAGCTGTGGCTCCTCCGTACCGCTTTCAAGCTCAAGGGTTGCTCGCCATCTTGAAGATCTTGACAATGCAACATCGAACGGAAGTGCTGTTGAAGTCGTGTGGCAAATGGAGCCTTTGCCAGCGGCTGGGCTTTATCGACTTTGCTGGTGTAGCAGCTGGCGAGTTTGCACAGCTGACGCCTTCCTGGTGGACACTGGCACTATTGAGACTTTTGGTTCTGATGGGCTTGGAGAGGCTGTTTGTGTCAAAGGAGCAGCGTGCGAAGTTGAGTTGAACGGAAGGGGCATGAGGTCATATGGACCCGAGCCTCCAGTTGTTTTGCTGCGCACCAGCTGCACAGAAACCGATGACGAAGCGGGTGTTGCTGAGATTCTCTCTGCATCTGATGAAAGGCTTGTGGTGCAGTGGTCGTCGTTGCTGCACGTTTCTGTTGGCCAGTATCGCATATGTTGGGCTGTCAGTTTACTTGCTGCCATGGCCAACAATAGTGTGGATGCTGGAAGCATGTTGTTGGCAGGTCCATCACCGTATCCATCGGCTCGCTGTGTTTCGGGAAGGCTTTGCTCCGTATTGGATGTCGAAGGTGTTGGCTTGTCAATCGGCGACCAAATTACTGCAAGGAATTCAGCATGTGGAGCATTTGACGAAGATCTTGGAGATGGACGCATCTTCAAAGTCAATCCGACTCCTCCAGAGAGTTTCGAGACGGTGGACTTTTTCGCGGCAGTTCTGGCTCGTTACGTTCGCATTTACCCAACAAAGTGGCATGGAAATGTTTCCTTGCGGGCAGGCCTTTTCGTGCAAGCCTGTGCAAATTGCACATCAAGCACAATGGTCGACATCGGCAATGATGCTCGCAGCTTTTCGTCAGCTCGCGAAAGTACGTCACCTTCGGAATGCTTCTCGTGCGGCCGCCTCGACTCAACAACAGCCTGGGTTTCGGAGCAAGCGCGGCTGGACGAATGGTATCAGATGGATGCCGGCAAGCTGGTGTTAGTGTCGGGCGTTGTGATAAGAGGACGAGCAGATGCAGATGAATGGATCACCGAGTTCCTCATTTCGTACAGCACAGACGGAACTGCTTGGACGCGGCTTCGGGAAATGCGGGGTGCTGACGGTTTCCCGAACTCGGGCGTGGCAGTGGGACTCATGAGCCAAAATATGTCACAGTTCACATGGCCCGCGAGTATTGACGCAAAGGGCGGCACGTACGTGCTGTGCTGGCGCCGGCGCACAGGTCCTCTCAGTGCACCAATTCATGTGGCTGACGTGGCTGAGTTTGTTACGACATTGGGGCAGCTCATCGTAGATGGACCGCGTGGAGGTCAGTCGTGGCTGTGCAAAGTTTCCAAGAGCTGCGAAATCTCCGGCTTGCAGGGCTTGGGCTTGCAGCAAGGCGACCTCCTCCGACCGCTCCCGCTTTGCAGTGTGAGTGATACCTCAGAGCCGTACGCAGCTGCCGATGACTTTGGGACAGGATTCGATTGGGGCTTGTCCCTGCAAGGGCATTTGCCCCGGCAGTACCGACTGTGCTGGTGCCGACCATGGAATGATACCGAGTTCCTGAACGACTCAATTGCAGGCGCTGTATCAGGATGTGGGCCCAACAATGTGCTAGTGGATGCGGGGGTTTTGAGCCTGATAGGACCACAGCCCAACAATTTGTTCACATGCATTGCCGGTGAGGAGTGTGTTGGAATTCCATTGCTGGGAGAACAGCTAAGCGATGGTGACATGCTTCTGGTAATGTATTCCAATGAGTCATGCGGTGATGTGCCCACAGCTATACCAGGAATGCCCAATCTCGGCCTTTCGGACCCTGCTGATGCCAGAGGAAGGCGATTTTACTGGCGCGGGGCTCCTGTCACCGCATCTGGTGCAGATTATCGGCTTTGCTGGTGCAGTCCGTCGTTGTCTGGCTGCAACAATTCCATGGACTTCGATACGCTTGCAGGCACCTTGCGTCTAGTCGGCCCTCTAAGGGACCAAGTCAGAACCTGCGTTGCCGGCTTGCCCTGCACATTGCACAGTCTTGGCGGGCATCACTTCTCAGACGGAGATGTCAATGTGCAGCAGTTCTGCGACACTGACCCCTCAGCTGTGAACCTAACTGATTTTCAGGAGGTGGGCTTTGGCAGCAGTGCGCAGTTCGATGAAGTCGGAGACGTGACTTGGTCCGACCCAAACAGAGCCACCGGAGGCATATACAAGCTGTGCTGGAAAGGTGCTAACGCATCCAGCTTCGGTGCTGAGATTGGAAATGTCGTAGTTCTCGGGCCTGTGGCGGATCACCGTCGCGTGGCATCCGACTCCGCACCTCTGATTGTATCGGTATTCCGGTGGGCTGTTGAAGCAATTTCACAGATAGGGGACCGAGTGAGAATTGCAGATGGTTGCTTCGAGTCTTCCACAGCTATGCCCGGAGTTGAGGGCACGGGCGGCGCGGCCATGTCTCAAGACTTAGAGCCCAATGCATCCTTCTTCCGCTGGGGGGAGTCGCTGTTGTCAGCTCCTGGTGGTGAATATCGTATGTGTTGGTGTGCCGGTCGCCTTCTGAACAATTCGCCACGAAACTGTGAGCTTCCTAGCGACTTCAGCGTGGATGTCGGAGTCTTAGCCATCAATGGGCCAGCTGGTGGTCAATCTTGGTCTTGTGACACCAGCCGCCCCTGCTCTATTTATGGATTGCGTGGGGCCGGCCTCACAGCCGACGATAAACTACTTGTCAAAGAAGGTAATTGCTTTGGTGGAACCCCTCTTCGAGGTTTGCATTGGGCCAGTGTTGGCACTGACGTGGATGCAACCGGAGTAACAGCCAACGTCACTTGGGGGAACCAAACCGTGGCTGCAGAAGGCGGACACTACCGTGTATGCTTCTGCACACTCACCTTCGGAGAGCCCTGCAGCTCGCAAGTTCCACACCGCTTCACAACAGATGCGGGCACACTGACAATAAACGGTCCACGCCCGGCTCATGCGCCCTGGGCGGTGCAATTTGGAGGCGACGGCGATGACGTAGCCACGCATGTTCTGGTTGATTCTTCAGAGCCTGAGTTAGGTCTTGGCCATGCGATCCTTGCCGGCACCACAAGTGCCACCATTGTCAACCCGACGACGACAAGAGCTGTGGCGGAGGCCAGCGGGATGACATGGACCGAGGGCAGGTCTATTTCTGACTACATTGATGTGGACTGCGGCTGGATGCGGCACGACAGCGGGGACGAGCAATGGCGGGCCACATGCCGCTTCCTCAAACTTTCCCTCCAGCCATTGAATTTCACGAACTTCGGGCAACGAGACGCGTGGGTCACCAAGGTCGGCTACAACGGGAGCGTGTTGTGGACGAGGCAGCTTGGAAGCTCCGGAGACGAAGTCCTTGGAGGACTGGCTATAAATCGGCAGGACCACTCGATCTTCGTGGCTGGAAGCACGTCTGACAACATGCTTGCAGATCCGTATTCTCAGGACTTTCCGGAATCAGAGTTTTGTCATAGCACATAATGGCACATAAATTAAATCGAACCTGTAGCCACAAATCTTCAGAGTGCCAAGAATGCATATGTTATCTTCCGTCTTGTCATCCTATCAAAGTTTACTGAGCAGGATGGCAGCACAGCAGCGGCTGCAAGTGGTCGCACAGATTGTTGGATCATCAAGCTCAGCCAGTACGGGGAGTACGTCAATGCTTTTCAGTTCGGCAGCTTCATGAATGATTTCATCGGTGGAATCGTAGTTGCGTCAGACGGGCTCTACGCTGCTGCAATCCGTGAAGACCAGATGCTCGGCATCCCGCCGGAGGGCGGATTGGATTCTGTGATCGTGAAGTTTACCTTGGACTTGGTCTTCGTGTGGGCAGGCCTTGTAGGTGGGGAAGGCAATGACATATTGGCCGGTTTACACCTCTATACAGGGAGCACCACGGATGGTCGGGAGCGCGTGTTGGCTTTCGGTACCACAGACTCGAACCTTTATGCTCCTAGTGCATCCCCTGAATTTGAAGATGTCATCCTCACCATCTATAGCATCGGTCTATATGCCAATTTTGAGAGAGGGAAGCAGATCGGGTCTCGCGGCATCGATGTCGCGACAGGTGCCACTTCTGGTCCCGACGGTAGTATCTATGTAGCAGGCTACAGCAATGACAATTTGTTTTTTGGTTGGGATCCTCGTGGAGAAATTCCAGATCCGAAGCCGGGAAATTATGATGGCTTTGTCATGAAATTCACCGGGAACTTGGAATGGGTATGGACTGCTATGCCAGGCACACCTTCGAATGAGTATGTGTACGGAATCGTGTTCTTGCCAGGATTCACAGAGTACACCAGTGACTTGTTAATTTCTGGAACTTCTGGTACTTTCTGGCCAGAGGCAGATTCACAGAACGATGCACCCGCTGGCGCCACTGACCTGGGACAGATAGATGCATGGATGATGACCTTGTCTGCTTCGGACGGAAGCTATACCGGATGGCAAAAGCAACTGCGCAGTCCGGGTGACCAAGTCTTTCGGGCCATGGCGGCTGAAGCGGCTGGTGGTCACATCTATGCTGCAGGCTCGGCAATTGGCGACTTCACTCCTGAAATTGGGGCAACACCGCTGGTTGGCTACGGTGGGGAAGATGCCCTGCTGCTTAAGTTGGTGTGGGGACGAGCAGCTGCTCGTTGCTATCGCGGGAGCGCCTGCGAAGCTGGCATTCCTAGTGCCATTGGAGTGGGTTCGAAAGATGTAGGATTGTTGTCGCCAACTCGCTGTGGAAGTGGTACTGTCAACGCCGAAGGCATTCCCAGCGCTCTTGCTGATGGGCTGCCTGTTGACGACCCTGGAGACCCGACTGGCTTACGAGACATGTCTGGCTTACGGCAACGCCTGAAATGGGGAAATCCAGTGGAGGGCAGGATCCTGGAAGCCGCCGTTGGACGCTATGTCTTGTGTTGGTGCTCGGGTGGCTGTGATGGGGCAGTTCCTTTAGAAATCAGTGCTGTCTTCGTTTCTGGCCCTGAACCCAATCAGCAGCGTACATGTGTGCGAGGCCAAGCCTGTGATGTTACCGGCATTCAGGGTCGAGATCTCGATTCCTTTGATCGTGTGGCCGTGATGGATAGCTGCGCTGGCAACTTTGCAGCTTTTCCTCAAAGTGGGCACACATCCGGTATAGTGGTTTTCGTGTCCCAGAACCCAGAAGATCTAAGCTGCGCCACGATCACTGCAGACGAACTTGATGGCGTCTCATCGAATTTTGGCTGCGGACGAGTGACGGCAAGTGCTGGGCAGTACACATTGTGTTTCTGCACGCCGCGGGGCGCAGGCACAGACTGCACACAGAACTACGACTTCGGATTTCAGATTGGCACTATGACAGTTCAGGGCCCCTTCACCGGACAACCCCGGAAATGCACCCGCAATCAACGTTGTGCTGTAGACAGCATCCAGGGTGTGGGATTGCAACAAGATGACATGATCTTGATTCTAGATGTATGCGGTATGCCCCAGCCGGACCAGGCCCCCGGAAACATGACTATTCGTGGGGTTGTTGGTTTGACAGCAGAGTCACCGGTTGCCACGGCCGATGGCAGTTTCTATGTGATCGCTCACCCTGGTACTGCAAGCCTCGGCACATACCGTATGTGCTGGTGCCGGCCCGGTGTCTCATCAAGCGGTTGCAGTTTGATTGATGATTTTGCTGCGGAGATTGGGCCACTGTCAGTGGTTGCGCCCATGAGCAACCACTACCGGCGCTGCCTTCGTGGTCAGATATGCAACATCATTGACTTAGAGGGCTCTGGCTTAGCAGATGGTGACGTCGTCCATGTCTTGAACTTCTGCCCGGATCCTCCGAGATACACTGAGTTCGAAGCTGACGTAACTCCTCCTGGCATCCTAGTGGATGAATGGCCACGAGGAGGCTTATCATTGCCGGCACAGCATGGTGGACATTACGTGTTCTGGGGTGAGGAAATTGTGCTGAATCCCGTTGGGGTTTACCAGTTGTGCTGGTGTATGGGCAGTGCTGGTCATCGTTGCTTGTACCCGCAGGACTTTTTCGTCCGGTTGGGGGAGCTCGAGGTTGCCGGCCCCGTTCCTTTGCAAGCCTTCCAGGCTGTGTCGGGGCATCCTTTGATTCTTCCAAACGTAGCCGGCTATGGCCTGGAGATCGATCACATTGCTATTGTCCCGGATACGCACAATTGTTCTGGGCCCTGGGAAACCGTTCTGGAAGCAGCAGCTGGAACTGGTTTTCCCTCTGCAGGCCTCCTGGTCCGCACAGTCGAGCCACACACTCCACTTGACTCGCCCACTGTGAAGTACAAGATTGCCAACTTCACAACCGGCACGCAGCCAGTGCCTCGAGGTGGTGGAGATTTCGCTTTGTGTATGCACAAGAGAAGAAAGGGAGGGCTTGGTGAAACTGCCTTCGCTGCTCGTGGTTACCAATTTCTCGGTTGCGGCGATGAAGATGAAGCTCGTGCTGCCTGTGACCCTGCCCCACTGCCTATGCCCAAGAGCCCCTGGAGCCAAGCAAACCTGCAAGCGGCTGTGTCTGAGGCTCGCGCAAGCGGTGTACAAGTCGGTCCATGTGGTATGGGCTTGTGGCTGGGTGCTCGTTGGTACAGCTCCGGCCGATGGATGTGGGACGATGGTTCGGTACTTCTCAATGGCTCGTTTGATGATGCAGCCGATCGCAGCGAGGGTTACATGAACTGGGCTGCTGGTCAACCATCTGCAGTTGATCATTCGGGCGAGCCTTTAGTTTACATGAACGTCCCTGAAGGTGGCTGGCACGATGCACGGCAACACAAGCATCAACTTGCAATTGTATGTCAAGAATTTGTGTCTCAAGGAACCGGCAGCTTGCAGCTCGAGGGCCCATACAGCCAAAACTTCTCTGCCTTGGCGGGTCGGCCACTGCAGCTCTCAGGTTTGGAAGGCATAGGTCTTCGAACCGGAGATCTTTTATTGGCAGCAGAAGCCACTGAGCCCTGCGGCCTTGCCGATGCGGTAGAAGCTCTTGGGGGAGAAGGGATCTCATTCCCTTCTCCTGATGGAACATCTTTCAACTTCACATTCTCGGCGAGAGCATCCGGGAAATACTACCAGTTGTGCTGGTGTCGAATTGCTGCAGACATCACTTCGTGCCGTCATGCATCTGACTTTGTGGTTCAGGTCGGATTACTTTTGCTTCGGGGCCCTGAGCTCGGCCGAAGCTACTCTTGTCGCTCCGGGGAGGCATGCGCGATCCGACTGACGTGGCTACACAACGATACAATCACGGCTGGTATGATCACTTTTTCCAGGGCCTGCGGTGAAGCTGACAACCCGTATCGCATAGGACCAAACGAATCCGAGTTTCATTGGCCAAGTCTCTCTGCCTTCGGTGGGCACTACAGCATATGTTGGTGTGCCAGCCCTTGCGACTTGACCAGTGATCCGCACCTGGAGTTTCGCATCGGTACTCTGGACATTCATGGCCCCTTTCCTGCACAGACTTTCACTTGCTTGCAGCAACGTGAGTGCAACGTTGCGCCAGTGAAAGGGTTGCACCTTCAGGATGGCGACAGGCTGCTAATCAGAAGTATGCAAAACACTTATATGCCTTGCAATGCATCTGACGCATCTGGCTCTGACATGACACTTCTCTCTTTGCCTTCGAGACGCTGCGGGACCTACGCAGACAGCTGCACCTTTGTTTGGCCAGCTTCTGTCATGGCAAATGTGCAGCCTGGGGCTTTCAACCTGTGCTGGTGTCGTGGCAGTGGATTCAGTGGATGCTTGACGGGCGCCGACTTCGCAGTTCATGTTGGCGCTTTGGCAATCATAGAAGCAGCTGGCTACCAGTAGCATCGGGATTGCTTGAGCAGAGCCTTCGTCACGAGCACATTGCTTCGTATGCTTTCAGTCTGCATGTTAATAATGAGTGGCTTGGTCGATCTTGATTGTTTCACCCGTGCAGAAGGCTCGTGTACAAAGACATGATCTCAGCCTAGGGCCTACAGGGCCTAGGGTTGCAATCTGGCTCAGAATGGCGCATATCACCCACAGATCAAAATGCCCTTCACCATGCCATCTGGACTAGCATGGGCTAGCCGCCCTTCTGGCATCTGTACTCTAAGGGCCGGCACCCGCAAGTGGACCTCCCCCGACCAACACAAAACTTGGCAGCCCAAACGTCCCCAAACACCGAAGGCACAAAGCCTCGCCTGCGTGTGCCAGCATGAAATCGAAACTGCAGACGAACATCAAGGCGACTGGCCCAGCAGCTAGCGGGCAGGGAAACATGCCATGCCCGCCCAATTCCTAGGTATCGGTATCAACGTGTTGCATACAATTGGTAAGGCATCTCGTGCAGGCAAAAGGCGTCTCATCAAGGCGTCACACTGCAGTTTTTCTAGTATGGCACAGTCATCTTTATGACACGTGGGCGTCTCGCCAGGGCGTCTCGCCAGGGCGTCCCGCTGCAGTTTTCTGTTTTGCGCTTGTGTAACAAAAGCTTGCCGTGTGCTACATCGATATCATTATCTGCACCAACCACCGAAATTTTAATGTAATTACTGCTTTGCTTGCGACGGTCTCCCCCTCCCCCTCCCCCATCGCGGAAAAGGTTTGGCACCCCCAAATCAGATGATTGGGGCCCGGGCTTCAGGCCATACTTTAAACAGCTCGTGGACTACTGCCTCATTGTTTGGTAAAACGACTTCAAAGGAAGTTACGTGCAACCAGGGTCGGGAAAGTTTGGGAATCTGAAACTTCAGGCTTTGGGTGCTGAGGGGCCGGCCTTGAAGTTTCAGGGCTCAAGGCTCCAGGACTCCACATGACCCCACATCCGTTTTTTAAGATTCCGAGGCCCCGACTTTTCGAACAGTTCCGGGGAACCCTAAGCCAAGACCATAGGGGTCGCAGAGTTTTTTGGGAAACTTTAAGCAGAAGAGTGGACCTGCACGCAACATCACATGGAGGATGCCCGTCAAGTTCTCCAGCTTTGGGAAAGCCGCGGGCTGGCGGACAGGGGGAGACTGAGGGCAAGCACTTGCGACCTTAAACAAGCAAAGAGCAGATAGCAGAACTGAAAGCTGTTGCGCGCAATCTTTCGCAAGTGGCAAGCTCATGGGACATTCACCACACGCTGACCCTTTGGGGCGGTGGATTCATTAATTCAGCAAGATGCAGCATAATTCGCTTTTTTAAGTGCCCAGAATCGGTGAAATTGGCCTGGTCGACCCATGCAGTCCGTAAGTATTTTTTACTTGCGCGGTAGCCCAACTTGTCAAACATACTTGAAGCACTCTTGAAGCCAAGACTGATGTCAAACGATGACATCACTACCTGAGCGTCTCGCCCTTAGTTCTCGTAGTGACATAGTGGGCATACACAGGATCATGGAGAATATGCGGCCTAATTGCTGCTTCTGTGAGCTCATGCAGATGTTGTTGTACAGCCGCTGTCATGTCACAAGCCCGTTCATCTGTCAAGCATTTCGGATCCGAGCTGGGCATATATTGCTATTGTCAGCAGCCCGGGCCTCAAAGCATGAGAAGGCGATGCGTTTGCTGGACACTCCCGTGTTTGCGGGTTCTTGCATGTAAACCGAGCATGGCATAGCTGACGCAGCAGCTGCCGCTGCTGTTGCTGTTGCTGCTGTTGCTGCTGCTGCTGTTGTTGCTGATGCTGCTCTGGATTCAGATTCGGCCCCCTCTTCCACAAGAAGGAACATCCCTTAGCATCCTTAGCTCAGCGAAGGGTTCGGGGGTGGGGCGTGTTCCTGCGCATTCGCCCTGCAAACGTCCACAACGTTTTGGCATCCTTTTGGCACGGTTTCATGTCCAAAGTCATCTTGCGCGCCAGGTCGTGATCCTCGTAACATCTCGTTATGACTTGTCGACACTTTGGATCCACAACTCGTCGTTGCTGTATTCGAGTACGTGGGTGCATCAGTTTGTATTGTCTTGTCAGGCTATTCGAGGAGGTACTCGCTTCAAAGAAGAGCCGTGTGCAGAGTGGACGGCGGTGCCTGTTTTGATGGTTTGGGCTCTTTGGTGCTCAATGCACACTCAATGCATAGCAAAGTTTTGTTGAGGCTTACGGCAATACTTGTGCAATGTGTTGCGCACAAGGTTGCGAAAGGAGGGCACATGCACTTTGGCACATTTGTGTTCTGCACCGACGCTTTGTTACCTGCTTTTCTTCTTGTCTTCTTCCCTGCCGCCTCAGAGAACCTTTCCAATCCTTAGCCTTCTTCGCAGTCCCTCGTGGGGGTGTGCAGTGAACTCCACGCCATGTCTGAGGAATTCAGAGTTGCAACTCAATGTGTGGTGCTCTTTGTCGTTTTACCTGATAATCAAATTGAATATACTTGAATGTATTCAGTCTATTCTTTAGGCGGTGGCTTCGCCTCTTCAGTAAATCTGGTGATGCTCGGCGCGAGACCTGAATGCAAAAAGCCTTCCTGCGAGGTCATTCATGGCACTAAAAAGGACGGGCGGCAGCTGGGGATAAATCTTCAAGGCAGAGAATGCACATGCGTGCATGTCATGTGAACTAGACTGGACATTCCTGCGACATGTTGTCATTCTTGCCCGCATGCTGAATGCTGCTGTCAGGTGCCCAACATGCAGGTAACTGCTGGGCCACTTGGCACGAGTGTCGTCAGTCTGGCTGCACATGCCACACGTCACTGCATGTACAAGCATGGTACTTCCAGTCAGCACGAACCTTTGGCCAACTCAGCCTGTCTTTGCATTGTCGGCCTTCCCATGCCTACCCGTTCTTCGGAATTCTGCCAAAATGCAGAAAACTCCCTACAGACTCAGCGCAATCTTCAATCCGAAAGGCCGATAATGGCTGATAGCAGACTGAAACCTGAGCCGAATAGCCACAGCTTCCGAGATCTTCCGAGGCACAAAGTACTAAGATTCGCATTCCTTACAGGCACATTCGGTCGCAATGCCCGGGGGTGAGCTGCAAATCTTCGGCGGCAATATATTAATCTAGCACCGTCTGTAACGTTGTTGCAAAACTCGGCAATTCGCCACCCAGAATGAATGCTTCTCTGCCTTCATTGGGAACATTTGTTTGAGTCCGAATGCTGACATGACTCTCAGAGGCTTCAGAAGACAAGTCCAGACACAGCGCCACATAGAATGCAAATCGCTCTCGTGCTTAGGACCTTTTTCATCGTTTTTTCAGTAGAGTCAGAAAGCAGTTTTGTGCTTCTTCAATTCCGGCAATTCCGCCCAACTTCGGCCTTGGTTGCAGCGTGTCGAGAAGTACTTTGACAGCCAACATTGTGCAGACATGAATTGAACAGTCTTTTCAAGATAGTTGTCGGTCGGTGAAACAGCGTATCGGCTTCGGCATATTCGGCATTTCGGCGTCAAGGTACGCAGATACGACCCTCTGTGCGCCTGAGCCAATAGATTCCCATACACCGGTACATCAGTACACTGCTCCAGGCCTACAGGACACACCTGCACCGACAAACCGATTCCCGGGCGCCCGCCCCCACCGGGAGGCAGAGACGGGTGGGGGCCCTGACCGAGACTGTCAGGATGGGCGGATGGGTGGGCGGAGCGGCGAATCGTTGTGTTTCTCCTCCGCCGCGAGGCCTGGTAGCGGCGGACCGGCGCTTTGGCACATCGGCGTAGTATCGGCGTATGTAAATCGATTCTTTTTGTGGGGGCATCCACGCAACGGCATTAGTCAAGGCGATTTACAACACCATTGCCGACCACGCTGAATTTGGTCAACACGTTTGGTCAACAGGTTAGTCAACAAGAAGTGCGTTCCAAGATTGGACACAAGTAGGCCCGGCATGGGACAGATGCATGGCCAACTTGTGGAACCTACTCACGACCTCATTTGACAAGTTTTGCCGAACAGCTCGTGCAGATGCATGGGGTTGCCACTCTGGCTTGCGTATGCTTGCGTGTGTGCCGCTGCCTTTCAGGTTCAGGATGTTTCGACCTGAAGCATTGAATTCGGCTTTGGGTTGGTTTTGACTGAGTCGGCTTCATGGATTTTCAACCTGTGAACAATGTTGGAACTAACATGAGGCTGACGTGCGCCCAAACCCCAAACCCTCACCTCCTTGCTCACCTAAGTGTCAAAACCCGCACCTCTGACTGCCAAGCTTACGCGGCCTCACACGTTACCGAAAATAGGGGGCGACAAAGACAGTTCTCAAGTTTATGATGCAAACATTTTTTGTTTAAGCGTACGTGTCCTAACAATCGCGCACCTCGTCGGTTTACTTCATTTTCTTCAAGGTTTCGCGAAAGTTTCGCAGTGCAAAAGCAGGCTGCGGCCAGGGCCAGGTACCAGCCACACAACATGCTTGCTTGCAATGCTTTCCATGCCGTAAAGAAACGTTGGTAGAGTAAAACGATGCAAGACGTTCTTATGGGACCTTCTGCAGCTGACGACCCTGTGTCCGTGACTGCGACAGAAAACGCCCTCTAGGTATCCTGATGGCACTGAGCTTGTGGTTGGCGGCAGGCGCCTCTTTGCGGGCCATGCTGGCATATGCTCATGGACCCCCACGTGCAGGCACCCTCTGCTGGAGAAGGAGACCTTCGAACAGCTGCATCGAAACGATGTCGTCGAGACGCGGCCCTCCTCCCAGTAGTCCAGAGCCTCGTTTCGCAGTTGTCGCAGTCTTGTGTGAAGATTGTGCCAGAAGAGGCCACATACGCTTCATTTCGGCGGCTTCCAGATACACAAGGATGCTTGACGAAGTATTGAACGTCTTGCGTAAATGCGGCATGGTCGTGCCGAACCTTTCTGTGCAAACGTCAACGCGTCAGATCATGTCAGTTGGTTCTTTGGCAGTACCGGTATGTAGAGCA